GTACGTGTGCACCATAGTAACTAATAGTATTTATTTAAATTAAATGCAAGCAGAAGCTACATGCATGTACCTGCACATGACTAGATAGTACATATATTTGTACATGCGGCACTCGATACAAATCTTGTTTATACTGATACATAATGTACGAGTACATGTTAGTGGGTGTATAGTAAGCAAGGGAAGCCTGGGAAGGAGTAGAGAGTAAAATAATGGATTTATAATTATGTATTGTAACATGATAAGCCCACACCCTGTACTTCCAACTCTCCCTCTCTCGGTTCCAATCTTCCTCTTTTCCCTCCTCTTCCTTCATTGTGTTGTGTAATGTGATACCAGTGTTACATGTACATGTACATAATAGCACTGATGAAGCAGCTATATTAAGACTATTGATTTCATTTAATTCAAAATGAATCTCTTTAATTTACCTACCTGCTCTTCCTTCCTCCTTCTCTCACTCTCTCCCTCTCCTTCTCCTTCTCTCACTCTCTCCCTCTCCTTCTCCTTCTCCCTCTCTCTCTTTCTCTCATACACTCTCTCTCTTTTAATGTTAATCATTATCATATACATACAGTACATGTAGTTACAGTGTCATTATACGTAATACAGTGACAGGTTGACAGTACATGCCCATTATTGATTATAGTGTACTAATGAATATACAAATATTTAACCCCCTATACACCTCCACACAAATAAACAACAGAACATCAGCAAAATAAATCGTCCCCTCTCTCTGTCTCTCTCTTCCCTCTCTCTCTCCCTCTTCCCCCCTCTCTCTCTGTCTCTCTTTCCCTCTCTCTCTCTATTCACTAAACAATGTCACTCTAATCCAATTAGTTATAAACAGGCAATACCGATAATTCCACACCAGCTGGACCACAATGGCCACCGCTACCCATTGAAATGTAAACAATAAAACAAAATCAAAGTGTAACCCAAAGCTCCAATGACCCGTGAAATATTTAAACTTCAATACCACCTGCTAAGAGATACTGACAGCCCCTCAAATGCAATGTAAAGTAGACATATATGTACATGTGCATGGTAGTTGTATTTAATTTATGTGTGTGTATGTGTGTTTATATTTGTGCAAGAATTTGCATCTCATACTGCTTTGTCATTTATAGAGTTTATATAGACTCGCCATTGTCAAAACAATGAGAGTGTTATTGTGAGTCTAACGAACATTTTATACATTTTTATAAAATTTAAATACACTTTACATGTACAGTACAGCTATCAATCCTGATCTCTCTCTCTCTCACACTCTTTCCCTTACTTTTGATGTCAGGTCTCTATGAAAGACTCCTCTATTGTGGAGGTATGCCATTCCATTGGCAATGTCATGAGCAATCTTTATCCTCTTACTCCACGAGAGATGGGGATCACTGCTTAACAGCTCTTCAAGAGTACCACCATTGATATACTGGAGAGAGAGAGAGAGAGAGAGAGAGAGAGAGAGGGGAGGAGAGAGAGAGAGAGAGGGGGGGAGGGAGAGAGAAAGATGCCAGCTGTAAATACAGTATATATTGTGCCCACAGCAGCTGCCATTGGCTAATAGTTATTACAATAACAAGAGAGAGAGAGAGAGACGGACAGATAGATGTCTCATAATCTCACCATTGACTGGCAGCGTTAGCACTGTTTGCAAGACTATACAAAATGTCTGACGCCTTCCCAGACAATAATAATAACAAACAGCCCAAAAACAGAGCCCTATAGAGAATCAGGGTCCCTGATAAGGCTTAACGCAACATTAACGCAGCCTTCAATGGAATATAATGGAATATTAGCATGATTCAAACCTCAAACTGATATCATTCATGAGGCATGGAGCTTTAAATGAATTTAAATGGATGAGTAATTGTAGCAAATGAATGGAATGTGTGAGAAATATACAAAAGTATGATGCTTGTACTAGTATAGATGTACATGAACAAGTAAAAGGGAAAGGGAGAGGAGAGGTTAAGGATATGTACATGTACTGTACCTCAGTCAAAGCATGGAGACTGCCTTCATGGACACAGGATCCTTTGAATCTAAAAAAAGAAGAGAAATATAAAAGAGACATTTAAAAATAATTATAAAAATCTAATGTACAATGTACAGTAGCTGAGAGAGGGAGAGGGAGAGAGAGAAAGAGGGAGAGGGAGAGAGAGAGAGAGAGAGAGAGAGAGAGAGAGAGAGAGAGAGAGAGGGAGAGAGAGAGAGAGAGAGAGAGAGAGGGAGAGGGGGGAGAGAGGGAGAGGGAGAGAGTAGTGATACAATAGAAAAGGTGCTGGAATGCGCTCCATTTAAAACACAATAGTCTAACAGATGGAGTGAACAAGGCTAGCAACATGACCAATCCATCAATAAAACAAAGGAGCTAACAGAATCAGCCAACTGCTCATAACAACACGCTCCTCTCTTCTCCCCCTCTCCCTCCCTCCCTCCCTCCCCCTCTTCAATACTATATAAGCAGGCAATACCCCATCCTCCCCTAGGGCATTTTAAACACTTTGCTTTACAATAACAGGTATAGATTCTGATGAAAGCTAATTGAGATACAGACAGATTAAAATAAGGACTGACATAATGAACTGTAATTATAATCAAATGATTAGGTTGTAAATATAAACAAATTATACTCTACATGAACACACATGCATGGACCACATGCAAATTTAATATGTACATGTACTCTTTATATAATAAGGACACTTTTATAATGAGGGCACCATTATAAATGAGGATATTTTGTAATGTCCTAATTAGTACAAGCCTATATAAAAGTACCTCTGAAATGAGGACACCTCTGTATTAAGGACAGGTAGTGTGGGCCCAATGGTGTCTGAAATTAAGAGGCTACACTGTACATGTATTAAGGACAGGTAGTGTGGGCCCAATGGTGTCCTTAATAAAGAGGCTACACTGTACATGTATTAAGGACAGGTAGTGTGGGCCCAATGGTGTCTGGAATTAAGAGGCTACACTGTACATGCATAGGTACGTATGAAAACACTCAAAGAGCAGACACACTTAGCACTTATGTCTGCCCTAGTGTCACCAAGAATCCCAGCAATGCATTAGGGATGATACAAGATGTCATACAGGACAAACCAAAAAAGAAGAAGATTATCATAAAATGACCAACAGCCTGCGAAATAACTTTTTAAAAATATTTTTAAAAGAAAAGCTACATACTATAAACAATAACAAGAAATAGGGAGAGAAATGAGGGGGATTTTGAGTTTAAGAGCGTCAACGCTTACCCTAGTATATTTGAATGTGACAGACGGTTCAGTAGCTGTATCTCTGCTAGCATTTGCTTGCTGTTGTTGCGGGATTTATTTAGTTTCAGCACCATAACCTCCCCAGTGTTTTTATGAGTAACCTTCAGAAAGAAAGAGAGAGAGGGGAAAGAGCAAGAGAGAGAGAGAGAGGAGGAGGGGAATAAAGAATATTATTATTACATCATTATTTTTGTATACAATGTCCATTTAGATTCATGACAAGGTACACATCAAATAATAAACAAAAGCCCAAAAACAATAATATATAAATGTCCTAATGCTTGTAAAACAGGTCTTCCACTCACTTTAAAAACTTCAGCAAAAAATCCTTGGCCTATCTTCTCCCTTGTGAAGTCATTGAGGCACGTTAGTTGATAGACAGCGTCTTTTAGAGCAATGAAAGAAGAGCTTTTAGGCCTAGGGGTGCCTCCTTTTCTGCTGTTAGGAGGAGAGTAGTCACTGTCATCGCTATCGCTGCTAAGCTGAGCCGGGAGGGCCGAAAACTTGCTGTCAACCATATTTGAATCACGTTTTGGGTTTAAGTTCTCGTGGACAAGAAAGCGCGGCTGAAGAAAGAGACGGAGCGGGTAGAATGATAAAGAGAAACTGCTCCTTTATAGCCAGTTATATAGAGAGGGAGAAGCTGACGAGACTGCTAAGGAGAGAGCTATCAACAAGTTTTCTTCCATGCAGCATCCTTCACAAAATGTACTTTGGTTGTTGTGGGCGGGACCGGATGTGCATTAGTGGGCGGGGCTTGTGAATAAAATTGAAATTTAAGAAAACAATGTACATGTACATGTACTGAAAACAAAGAACTGTTTGATTATTATTGCATGTATTGTATTGTACTATTTTTATTAGTCTCTTATTGGTAGATAATTGCAGCTGTATCTGTGTGATCAGTCACTACATTCTATCTTTAGAATGCTGTACATGTAGACTAAGAGACTATAAAAATTCCAAGCAACAAACAGCTCGTGAATCTAATTAATAACAATAATTATTAGTCAATGAATATTGATTATAATACAGTATAATAATAATTGTTATCATTGCTATTGTACACAACATCTCTTTGTCTCTTTACATGTCACACCCTCTCCTCTCTCTCTCTCTCATGGTCCTCTCCCAACTATCTTGAGGGATTCTCGTGGTAAGGTACCAGCTCTCGGACGGCAGTGAGGATCGGCTGGATCAGGGCGCTTCAATGCATGGAACCTCCATGAAGCTGCTATCAAAGTAACCTGCAGAGAGAAAGAGAGAGAGAGAGAGAGAGAGAGAGGGTAAGTTGTATATACATTTTTACTATTTTGTATACATACATAATGCGGTCATGAGATCACGATGTCAATAAACAACTAACTATAATATAACTGACGTCGATTATTAGATTAATACTTATAATAAATTGATTATCAAATCATGCAAGGTATGCGAGGAATTCGGAAATCTAAAGCCACAAAAATTCTCATAATAATAATAACAAAATTAATCAATTATTGTTCCTTATCGTACAAGGTAGTTACATGATGTTTCAAACACATGTAAACGTACACTTACATAATTATTATATCATAAATATGATTGGAATGAAAAACAATGCCTTTTCATAGCAGAAATCCAATTAATACAGTACCTACATGTACATGTGCATTGTTGATTCATAATACGAAAGCTTCAGACCCTGTGATGCGGCAAGGGAAAATTCTCAGACCCCCTCAACACTATAAAACCATATTCTTTGCATACTAAAGACTATAATAGAGAATATAAAAGCTTCAGACCCTGTGATGGGGCAAGGGAAAATTTTCAGACCCCCTCAACACTATAAAACCATATTCTCTGCATACTGAAGACTATTAGTCTCATTCCTAACCTGATTACATATTAATAATTGTATTTGTGATAGTAAAAGGTTAGAAATTGTCTCGTGACATAACTGATACAACGCCATTAGCATAAAGGCCATCAAAACAATTCCATAAAAAATATAATAGCAAGTAATTAATAATGATGTCACTATTATCAATTAGATGACTCAAACTACGTAAGACACAAATCCAAAGCTGTTGAATGTAATATGAACTTGCATGAATTATTTGGTATGTGTGTAAATGTATTATGATGATTATTGAGCTTACCGGAATGAAGTGGTCTTTGGCATTTTGTTGTTCAATCTCACTAAGTTTCTCAGTGTCCAATAGAGGGAGCCTGATATGCTGAATGACAGTCTTGGCAACTTCTGATAGTGTGCTGCCAGTAACAACCTGTAGAGGGATGGAAAAGAGCAAAGATTATACGATATGAACATAATAGTACATGTACATGTATATACATGTACACTAATAAACTTCATTAATGCATATACAGTATACATGTACATTTGTATGTGTGACTTAGTTAAAAATTGACAGTTAAATATAGTATAATATGTTATAGTATACAGTGTATGTACATGCATATACATGTACATGTACATGTAGTTTAATAAACCCTCCTATCCGAGAGTACATGTACATGTACATGTACATGTACATTTAGATGTATAATGTATACATGCATAATGTGTATGTACATGTACATGCATGTGTTCTTACAGAGTTGACGTGAGCCCATTCCTTGACCTTCATCAAGATGTCCTCCTCGTCCATTGTCAGTTTATCGGACTTCAAAATAAACGAGAGAGCATCCTCGGACATCTCGTTAAAACCAGGACTATTGAAAACCTCCTGTACAATGTACATTCAGCAAATGAGAATAATAATAATAATAACATACTTCAGTGTTTATTTCAATAAATAGAAGACATTCTTCCTGGAGTGTGGTCTGCTGGTAAGTTAAAGCTGCTTGAATGAACTCGCAAACTGTAGAACATTGAATGGAGTCACGCATGAATCTAACACACAGCTAGAGGGAGAGAGAGAGAGAGGGAGAGAGGGATAAGGAAGAAGCAAAAAGATAATTGTACATGTACATGTACATGTTTATCACTATTATTCATAATGTCTAACCTTAGTTAATCCATCCAGTCCATACTCAATAGCAGCTGCCATCACATCAATAACCTACAGTACAAACCAGTCAAACCAGTATTCATTACAAGTAAAACCGGTTTTACCATGTGAGTGGAGAGACTGCAGCAGTTGGAATATATAAACTCAAACACGGCTAGGAATATCTTGGGACGAATGTCAGAGAGGACTAGAGAGGCGGAAGCCTCATTGCCAGGTGGTACACTAAGCATCGCACGAAATACTTCACACCTGCAAAGGAATGCAGCATACCTTAAGCCTACTATTATTTGCGTCTACTAATTTTAGCGAAATCAGCAAAAGTCATGTTTAGCGTTACTAATTTTAGCATTTTTAACCAAATTAAATATTAATAATAACCATTATAATGAATAATGATTATTTTGGCGTCTATTTAATTTAGTGGTTTAAAGCTCTCTCGCTAATATAGCTAAATTTAGTAGACGCTAAAAAGCTAAAAATAGTAGGCTTAAGGTATTTAAAAGGCCTTTCTACACCTGCAATGTGGTTCTAAACTGGTTTTAGAACTGCTGCACTAACAATGTGCATCAAGTTACTCGACACTATCTTCTGGATCATGTATATTTTGATAGCATTTCTGATCCAGCTGCAATTGGCATTGAAGCTGATGATGTACGTGTACAATGACTGGAGCCAGTTTCAAACCAGTTCAAACTGTTCAATACACATTGGAAGTGCTAGTGTAGAAAGGTCTTAAATGAGGCACTATTATAGCTAACGTTTTCTGTGGCCCATAAATTATCACAAATTCTAAAAACTGCAGGAATTTAATCCTCAAAAATTTAGTACACAAATTAATGAGCTAATTGAATTGAAAATTATTAAAAGGCATGGTGATGAGTTTGAAAATCTGCAAATACCATTTGTATGGCAATTCGCATAAATTAATTTTGAGCCACAAAATTTTATTAACACACTGTACCTGGCTGCTAAGATACATCTATGGCCATAAACCACCTGCTTTTCCTCTCCTACTGCAAACCTGACATCACTACAAAGAGGAAATATGTTGTATATAGTATATATATATATATATATATATATATTATTACAATAATTTCAAGCCCTGACCCGTTTTCTTTTTTATTGATCATTTGAATCATTTCAGATGCAAACGCCTCCGGATCGCCATAGCAAACAGCATCTCTCCCTTGTATAGCACTCTCCATCTCAGCCATCCCAACCTAATATCTTCCTCTAAAACTCTACAAGACAACTGGTTCTCTCCAAGGAGCCACTCCTCTGTCACCTTCCCTTCAAATTTGCGTTTTATTTATCGCCGAGAGTCTCACGTGTTGCCATGGTAACAGGGTGGGGCTCCTGCAGCATTGTATTGTATAGGTGACAACAGAAAAATTTTCAGTCTCTTTCTCTCTCTCTCTCTCTCTCTCTCTCCCTCCAATGGAGGTAGTACCCTCTGATGTAGACATAGGAAGAGAGGTAGACTTATTTCCTAACATCTCCAGCCTGGGCTTTCCGCCCAGAGCCATAACTCGAAAACTAACAGGAGAGAAGAGTTAGTTTTTTTATAAACTCCATTTTGAATTAAACACTTTGCACCTTTCACTAGAGAGCGGGGAATGGATAGTAGCCTATCAAGCAGAGCAGAGGAAGAGATTGAATACGACGCTAGTCCCTGCTCAAAGCTCTAAGCAGTGGTACGGGGCATCAGCCACATTGACTAATAACAGCAGGAGACTTTCTGTACCTAAAAATACTCCAGCATCTTTCAGTGCTAAATTTAAAAGAACACTTAATAACTCACTACTGGTTAGTACTATGATACTTATTTATTTATTGCATGCATCATATTTTTTATTTATTTCTAATTTTTTTTAGATGAAGATAGGCTATGTTGACAGGTGTCAAGATCTCAGTATTATAAATGTCAGTGGAATAGACTTGGAATCGGTAAGTATTTGGGTTTTTAAAATGCTCATAACTCATAAATTTGAGCTCAGAATTAGTTCAAACTTTCTACACAGCATAAGGACATCAATGTGTATCAGAAAATGCAATGAAAATCTGGGGTGATTTTGGAGCCATTTTTTTGAAAAAACTATGGGCTATAGCCTTGGGTATTTTTCAGAATTTTAGCGTTTTTTAAAATGGCCGTAACTTGAAAAATATTTGTCAGAATCAACTCAAACTTGCTACACAGCATAAAGGCATCAATATGTATCAGGAAATGTAATTAAAATTTAGGGTGATTTTGGAGCCATTTTTTTGAAAAAACTATGGGCTATAGCCTTGGGCATTTTTCAGAAATTTGGCGTTTTCTCAAAAAAAAACCATAACTTGAAAAATTGAAGTCAGAATTGACTCGAACTTTCTACACAGCATAAGGACATCAATACGTATTAGAAAATGTAATAAAAATTGGGGGTGATTTCGGAGCCATTTTTTTGAAAAAACCATGGGTTATATAGCCTTGGATATTTTTCAGAAATTTGGCGTTTTCTCAAAATGGCCATAACTTGAAAAATTGAAGTCGGAATTGACTCAAACTGGCTATACAGCATAAGGACATTAATATGTATCAGAAAATGTAATAAAAATTGGATGTGATTTCGGAGCCATTTTTTTGAAAAAACCATGGGCTATAGTCTTGGGTATTTCTCAGAATTTTGGCATTTTTTAAGTGGCCATAACTTGAAAAATTGAAGTCAGAATCAGCTCAAACTTGCTACACAGCATAAGGACATTATGTATCAGAAAATATAATTTGCCACTTTTTAAAAATATCAGTTTGGAATCAACTCATATTTCCTACATTCCCCTGTATAGTATTCGGATCAATTGTTCTTCCAGTTTGTGAATCTCAATTCAATCAACGCTTCAGACAATGTCCTACCACTAGGTAAGATCAGCACATGTACTACATAAGTACATGTATTAAGTTAGTGTTTAAATAATTATGAGTTAGAGGGCAGGGATATTATTATCCCTTCCAAAAATTGTTGTGCTGAAAGGAATTAAATTGATCTTGACACAGCTGGTTGATTATGCAGCAGCTTTATCCTGTCATTTTTGAAAAGTTCATTGTGGGTTGCATCCTACAATGTATCTATAATGATATTCATAGGTGTAACCATTGACAACATTGCTACATATGCATCATGTACATGTACATATTGAATGCATCTACATTCTACAGTATGTGTAATTCTGTCTCTCTCTATTTCTTTTCTTTTTTTCTCTCCATTATCAGAGGCATTTGAGAGATTCCCAGCTCTACAAGAGTTAGAGCTTTCACTAAATAACATCACTAACATTGACATATCATTGAACACGTTCACTAAACTCTCAACCCTTGATCTCTCTTATAATAATCTATCCAGCTCTGCCATCACATCACTAGGGAAGCTACCAGGGCTAAAGGAACTACGATTAACTGGTACTTGAATGATTATTATTTTATTTTTAAACCAGGCAATGCTATTGGAGGCAATCTGTGGTTACTTTGATCTTCAGGCAACACTTTAATGCCTAGAATAGAAACATGTTCTATTCTAGGTAACACATTGCTTACAACATCAAAGTAACCACAGATTGCAAGGAATAGAATTGCCTGGTGTATAGTGGCCTTTATGGTACATTGTACATGTACATTTGTGTTGTGTAGGTAATAATTTGGTATATCTTCCTATTGAGATGTCACAGTTACAGCAAGTGAATACAACAGGAAACAAGTGAGTCAAAAAATTGAAAATAATTCAGAGCTGAACTGCTTGTGACTATTATGTTAACAAGTAGACAAGTTATGCTGATCTTATTCAATTATTTTGCTAATAAATATTTTTTTAATTTTTTTATTATATTATTTTTAGGGATCAACAGATGCAGATTAGCTTTCCAAATCTTGAGAAGTTATGGCTTGATGATAATCATTTATCTGATACTGGCACCTTTGCAATTCTTGCTGGACTTAGAAGGTACGAAATAAATCTCATACAGTAGCACTTTTTTATATCTTCGTAATACTTCAGGCTTCAGTATTTGAATCTTGATGATAATCAGCTCTCATCCATACCACGCCTAAGACTATTGGGTACTAGCTCCTTACGCTTGTCATCTCATCGCAGCCTCTCAGGGGAAGCAATTGGAACTGGTAAAGGAGAAGAAACAGGAACATCACCAGGAGGAGGAGGAGGAGGAGGGGGAGGAGGAGGAGGTAATGGAGGAGAAAGACCATCCTCATCTCCTTCTCTATCTCCATTCCCTGCACTACACACACTGAGTCTCATTGATAATATGGTAATCCATTGACTGTTCATTGTACTGAATCTACACTATATCTACTGTACGCTCTTACTTTGTTATTGTGTGTATATGTACTGTAGATTGTGTCTTCTGAGAATTTAGTTCCATGTTCTTCATGGCCATCATTAAAGATTTTAATTATAACTGGTAATCCAATAGTCAGCCTAAATAAAGGTAAAAAATACATGTACATGTACATGTGATTCTACATTAATGGTTTTTATAGGTTTACCAGTAATGCTTGATCACGAGTTAGTAAAACTAAGCGGCATCAACATTATAAGGTAAGGTTAAATATGATGGCTGTAATAATGTAATAATTGTTATTAACAGAACTAAAGCAAGTCCTGCTAAGAAAGAGAGAGCAATAATTGGTACTAAAGCAAAAGATTTTATTAAAGTAATTAAAACATTTACATGTACATGTACATATACATGTATCTACATATTATATCCATTATTTAGTTACATATTACCCCAATACATTATCCATTATATGTACATGTATACTGTTTGTTGTACTGTAGGTATCATTAGCTCCTCCTCCAACTATCCCAAAGAAGCCAATCCTTCTAGCATTGGAACCTCCTCATTCCTCCATGAGCAGTAGAGAAGGAGATTATGATAATGATAATGATTATGATGACTTCAATATGGATGCATTCTCTGAGCCATCGAGCATAACAGAGTCTAGCATAATTACTAATGAAAGGGACTTTACTAATGATAGAGAGGGAGAGGGAGGAGGGGGAGAAAGAAGAAGTGGACCCAATATCTTTATGACACAAGTAAAAAAAAGATTGTTTCATTTATGGTGTATTTGTTAAGCATTGAGTTTAGAGCTAACTATTACTATATTAAATTAAATATTAGGTACAAAATGAAGATAATGAAGAGATTCCTCCAAGATCTCAATCAACTGATAGTAAACAAACTGAACAACAACAACAACAACAACAATCATCCTCACCAGTCAATCAACAATTAGAAGATCCTGTTCCATCACAAACTGCAGTATCACTCCTCAGTGTAGAGGAGGAGTTCAAAAAGAAACAAATAGAGACAGCAAAACGATTTAAAGATCTACCAGTTAAATATAAAGGATTTGAGTCATTAATGGAGTCAAGTGAAGATGAGCTTTATTATGATAGACCACCTTTACCAGCTAGTAAGAAACAATGCAACAAAAATGATATTAAAGATAGTACATTTTGTAAATGCTCTTGCTAAAGCTGCAGTGCCTTTTGTTACCTGCATTTCTGCAATACAATGTACATGGTACAAGCTACAGTATTTCTTATAATGGTTAAATACTGTAGCTTATAGGAATACTGCTACTGTGTTGTAGTATACATGTACATCTACTATCTTTTACTGTTTGTAAGCCTTGCATTATAAGCCTTATAGCTAAAGCTTCTTTGACTTTTACTGCCTATATTTTTGCAATAAAATGTGCAAGGAATGATAGTGTTATACATACAATGTAGCTTATGTAGAAATACTACTACTGTCCTGTGCTATAGTATATCATTTTTTATTGTTTATTCATCATTTCAGATGCTCACAGTTGTGCTCAGGCCCTGAGACATGCTCTAAGGAATCCATTACTACTAACTAATGCATCCACTGCATCAAGAACAAGATCAACTGATAATGATAATGACACCATTGAATCAATGCAATACTTGAAGAAATCAGTAAGAGACTACATTGTTACTAATAATAGATGCAGTACTGTATTGATACTAAATATAGATGCACACTACTTGTAAAAAAGCATAATAGATTTGCAGTTAAATGTACAGTACATGCATGCAGTTATATAATAGAACACATTACATAGTGTGTAGCATCAGAATTCATCATTACTACACAATGAGATTTTTAATGCAAAAATACTGCAACATAATGTACATGTACACATTGATCATTTTTGCATTTAATATGGTGTTTCTTTTCTATTAATGCAGCCAGTTCAAGAGGTTTATGATGACAAAGCAGCTGTGAGTAGAAAACAAGAACTAATACAAACTGTACTGACTGATGTGAAGACTAATGAGGTTACCATAGAAACAAACCTAGCAGACATGCTAGAGTCAAGATACGTGATAAAAACTGATGAGTCAGCAAATAATAATAAAGAAACTAAGAGAATTACAAGAGAAGGAGGGAAACTGTTGAAAAAAGTGAGTGACTATAGATTATACATAAAGTACATGTAGAGCTGTAGAGGTTTCTTTATTAAATAACTGACATAATATAGAAACAAGATAGCTTCTAGGGTAGAACCATAGGTACATTATACATGTGCATCATACATTTAGCAGATGACTTTGAATGCTATTGAAACCTTTACCTTGGTGTTTAATAATATTAATAATCACATGTTATCATTTTTATTTTACTGCTTGTATTACTATTGTTGCTATTAGTTGCAGGATAAGTTTGATAGTGTATGTGAGAGTTCACTGGAGGCTATTGATGCACTTGAAAGTATTCAAAGAATAACAAGAAGTGGAGGAACAGAATCATAACATTAATGACATGTACATATACGTTGATAAATTATATGAATATTAAAAAATTTTAATTAATAGCAATCAAATTCAAAAGTAAATATTATTGTCACAAAAATACTGCTGCATTAGACTATCAATCAGCTAATAATGAAAAGATTACATACAATGTTAATTATAGCTACTTCTACATGTGTATTCAACAAATAGTCAATTAGACACACATGTACATGTACACATCATTTAAAATTAAAATCGTGAAAGCTACATGTACATGTACATTATACATTTATGTCTCTAGTACTAAAATATAATAATAATAAAAGTTAACCGCTACATGTACTTTTAAAGTTAAGCTATCAATCATTAATTAAGATACCGGCAACAAAGTGTGACATATTGTTACTTGTCACTGCTGAATTTGGTGTATTCAGAAGGTATCTTGAGTTCTTTTTGCTTGCTATAGTATGGATCATAAGCTTTCTTCATAAATGAACTAAACAGGCCGAATATTGACTTGATTGCTGTAACTGCACTGTGTTTCTTATTAGTTGACTCAGCATTGTTTGACACTGGATCTGGTTCACCAGCTGGAGTGTTTGTAATTAGTAGCTGTTTAATATCAGATCGATCATAAAACATATTACCACTCACTACATCCAGGGCATTTAGTCCTTCATCATTTCTTTTGTTAACATCAGCTCCAGCTTGTATTAATGTATCAACTAGTTCAATGTGTCCACATGAAGCTGCTATCATTAATGGAGTTATACCAGCTACCAGTGGAGTATCTGGACTCATACCAACTTCATAAATCATACTAATTAATGTTCCTAAATCTCCTTCAGCAGCTGCTACTAATGATTTTCTCTCATTATTTGAAAGAGTTGATATTTTCTCAGACAAATGCATTATCATTGAAGAATGACCTCCATTGCATGCTAAGGATATAGCACTGATGATGTCTTCTGGTGTGATATCACATTTCTTCATACAAACTGCAACTGCATCAAAATTATTGAATAGAGCTGCCACTCCTAATGAATGATACTCCTTGCCATCAATAGTGTGAATATGATTAGGATGATAATCTAGTAAAAGTTCTAATATAGTAATAAAATTACTAGAGCTAAACTGGTCAAGCAATCGAGCACACTCATCAGGAGATGTAAAACCAACTATTGTAAAGTCTGAACAAACTATATAAATTGTAATAAGACTAGTGCCAGAATTTTGAGAGTTAATATCTGGATTTTTATGCAGTAATAGTTCAACAACTTGGTGATGTCCATTGCGACAGGCATATATTAAAGCTGTCCATCCATCATTATTTCGAATGTTAATATCTGGATTTTTACTCAGTAAGAGTTCAACAACCTGGTGATGTCCTTTGTTACTAGCAAGTATCAAAGCAGTCCTTCCATAAATAATATCTTGAATGTTAATATCTGGATCTTTACTTAGTAAGAGTTCAACAACCTGGTGATGTCCTGCTTCACTAGCAGCCATCAAAGCAGTCCCTCCATCATTATTTTGAAAGTTAATATCTGGATCTTTACTCAGTAAGAGTTGAACAACCTGGTGATGTCCAACAAGACTAGCAAGCATCAAAGCAGTCCATCCATCATTATCTTGAATGTTAATATCTGGATCTTTACTTAGTAATAGTTCAACAACCTGGTGATGTCTATTGGCACTAGCAAACATCAAAGCAGTCCCTCCATTATTATTTTGAATGTTAATATCTGGATTTTTACTCAGTAAGAGTTCAACAACCTGGTGATGTCCATTGGTACTAGCATACATCAAAGCAGTCCATCCATCTTTATTTTGAATGTTAATATCTGGATCTTTACTCAGTAAGAGTTGAACAACCTGGTGATGTCCAACAAGACTAGCAAGCATCAAAGCAGTCGTTCTATTATTATCTTGAATGTTAATATCTGGATCTTTACTTAGTAATAGTTCAACAACCTGGTGATGTCTATTGGCACTAGCAAACATCAAAGCAGTCCCTCCATTATTATTTTGAATGTTAATATCTGGATTTTTACTCAGTAAGAGTTCAACAACCTGGTGATGTCCATTGGTACTAGCATACATCAAAGCAGTCCATCCATCTTTATCTTGAATATTAATATCTGGATTTTTATTAAGTAACAGTTCAACAACCTGGTGATATCCATTGCGACTAAAAATCATCAAAAGAGTCAATCCTTCATCATTTTGAATGTTAATATTTAAAACTTCACTAAATAGATCTACGAGTGCCTTTATTGCGTCAAGAGCAGAGGAATCTTCTTTTTTACTAGCAATTAGGAGGGCAGTGTTATCATTTTCAAGAGGTAAACTAATGTTAAGTTCAGTTAGAAAAAACAATACTTTTTCATCATTAGTTTTATAAGCTTCTTGCAGTGCAGCCTCAAAAGTAAATGAGCTATCTTCGTCTTTCATTATAATTGGAATATCATCAATCATAACCTCAAATACACCAATCTTGTACAAAGAAGCTCCCTGTTCAAAAAATGCTTCCATTAATGGTTCAATTTGTGATAAATGAGGCAAAAAATATGTACAGGTACAGCTGGAGGCATCATAATGGGTTTGGATGAGGTTTAGAAAGGATGAAATAGGCGATAAGTAAAAAACTTCCATTTTATTTAATTCAGTGATTTTTCTTGAGCACCATGGCTTGTTGAGTCTTACAATTAATTTTGAACAGCCAACACCATCAGGATATTGCATTCCTTTAGTCATTACTGCAAGCTCCAGTAGGCTAGTGGTATCTTTGAACATCTTCAGGTTAGTATTGTATTCTTCTACCTGTTCCTTGATAGGTTCTGTGATAGTACATGGTATTGTGAGAAGGTTAATGTTTAAACACGAGTAATGAGACTGGAGCAACTGCACTAGTTGATTAGCATTTTCACAAGTAGCATCTTCTTTGATATATAATTGAAAGATTTGCTTTGCTTCTGTTACTAAGGCTTTGCTAGTCAAAATATTGGTGGCTGCATCAATGAAGCTACTATTTAATGCATGAAAGCAATTTTGTACCCATCGAAACTTTGCTCTTAAATATGACAAATGTCCATGCACAAATGAACTATAAGAAGATCTACTCACTCCTCTTTCTTTAACAGCCATTTCTAGCACCTCTTCAATTGAAGTGTCATCTCGTGGTATTATTCTTTTTCCTCCAATTGATTTGTATATATGCTGAGAGAGAGCAGTGCAGGCTAAACTGTTCAATCCAATGAATCCTTTATTGGCTGGTAGCTGTACAAATGGATTGGCACGATTTTGTAGCAATGATTTGAAAATTTCAATGTGTCCACCTTGACTAGCTAGCATTAGTGCAGTCTGACCATCAGTGTTCTGGTAATTTAGTTTTATTTTAAGTTCTATCAGAAGTAATGCCACTCTCTCATATTCTGCATTACTGTCAATG